AATTGTTGATAAAATCTTTATTAAAACGCATTCGTAATATAAAAATGTCTGTCCACAGTTTTACCACAAGAAATACAAATAGGTATCTAACTAATGGAATCATTATGATATTTATAATTAAATTATGGGTTACCTATAACTAGAGTACTAATTTAACAGCTTGAATATTAAACTACGTTTATCCATTATGATTAGGGGCTGTTATTTCCGTATGTTAAAACTAGAGATGCCGCAGAATAGAAAAACATGTGTACCTTCTCCCACATAACAATAAGATTTATTATGACTAGGTCCGATAGAAAATTCAAATGAAGCGAAGAGGGAAAATGGCAATCAGTTATTAATTAGACCAAGAGAAGCAAGAGTCTGTTATATCGGAAAGTATTGATAAACGTTTGTCCGATACCAACAAGTGTCTCGGAGAAGTGATCACGATATTATAGAATAACATCGATAATATTGCAAAAATGTAATATGAGCTAATAACGTTAACATTATAATGTGAGAATACAAAATGTGCAAAATAAGGATCAGTAGACTGATACATGCAGAGTATGGAAGACAACACAGTAACAAACCAATTAACTCAGAAAGTATATGTCAACCAACCCGCAAGTAAAGATATGTTAAAACAAAATAACATTATATAAATAATTGGTGCAAAAGATAATATAGCCAAGAAAACCCATTAAACCATTAAAATAATGTGGTACAGAACAATACACGTAGAAAAAGCGCATCTTTATTCATTCTTATAACTAAGTCCACATTGGTCTGATTATTTACGTGACAACTATTAAGTAACCATAGAAACCAATTTTAACTTATCAAATTAAACAAATATTCTAAAATCTGACTAACAATGTTTGATGTGCGGAATAAGGTGATAAGTGAACTAAAACAAAGCCGCATAAAGCACGTTTACCAATAAAAAGATTCAATTCATTTCCTTTCAAAGTCATGCATTTTATCCGTTAGTTTACATTGTTTTCTACTGATCTGATCCCATCATAAACACCTTACAACTAATATATGTATTTTGCATTTGGAGTAACATTGGGTATGGGTGTCGACTTTTAAGTATTCGACGCATGTAAACACTATGTATCTTCTTTCAAGTCATGTTAATCTAAATTATTGTTTGTATTCAATTTTATGTTTTTGCAGTTTGCCATTTCTCTGTTGACTTTCTGTGGGGGTCTTTATCCATAAGTCAATACAAGTTTGAGATGTTTGGTACACTAACAACCAAACATCTATGCTTATTGTAATCTTTTTACTCTTTCCGTGTCATTAAAATTCGTACGCATGTCCCAAATGTGTAAATTTTGATTGGGGCTATGTTAGCGTGATAGGTGGCTCTAAGACTGCATACTGTGTGGTCATTTCCATGGAATATAATATAAATTTTAATCTGTATCTGTAAAAGTTGTTACTTTTGTAGAATGTCTTTAGTTTTATAGTTCTATCACGTTGTCCTTAATTCAGCAAATCTTTGCAGTTTGTACAATAATTTGTTATATTCTTAAACATTGCCATTTGGAAATCATTTTAGAGGTAAAGAGGTAAATTACCCGACTTGAAATAGTTAATTTTATTTAACATATAATTAAATTATTTCATTTCAAATATGCTTTGAAAAGTGAGTGTTTATACAATTATTATCATCATATATCAGACAAATCTATATGGATTCTGGTAACATATAAAAGTTGTATTTCGCAATCTACAGCCATTTCTGTCTACATATCGATTGCATTGAATGAGAATCGCGTCTTTCCAAATGAAGGGCTTAGATCCGCTAGATGTGTCGTAGGCATTATGGAAAATAGGCGCAAGATTCTTCAAAATCACTAATATCATTTACTATGCATTGGATCTAGATGTTAAGACTTAGGCATTATAGATGGATTGACATGAAATTTGGAAGGATTTGAAAGTTGTTAAATTGCTATGCATTTCTATTTAAGCTGCATGGTTTTTCCAATACCTGGATAAGTTCGGTCTGATTCTTGAGCCTCGGTAAGACTGCTACTTAATGTGAATTGCTTACTGGATACAACTTGCCTATAAGATACTTAGACTTTTACTAGGATAACCGATCTCTAGCCTATCAAATTCAAACAAGGCTTCACAAAGTTCCCACTTTGTTTTCATTAGATATAATCCGATTTGACAGAATCGAATGCTTTACTAATGTCTCAATAAATAACATCACAAGAGCGTTTGATTTAACGTTGATTTAGAATTTAATGCATAATTATAATATCAAGCATATGATAGTATTCATTGATATCAAATTGGAAATCATGAATCATTGAGTCATGAATGGAAAATTACAGAATATGATGCTATGTGCAAATAATAATAATGAAAAATAATTTTCTCATTATTTATATGTGGACGAAAAAGCTTCTAATGCTTTGCTTGGTATAATATATCATTTCAGTGAACCAATGCACGAACCCTTTCTTACCCCTGGCGATTTAAATCAGAAATCAAAAATTGTATTTAAGTACAAAAATTATAGCCACACTTCAACCCAAATCAATGAAATTATATAATGGCAGCCCATTTCTTAACAATAAACAATACTGTTTGAATACCTTAAAGTTCACATTTGAAACGATCTAATTCACTAGCCCTGGGCATTTTTTAAATGATTCAGTATCCTTTAAAATATCTGTTCGAATTTTCCAATTTGTTTTACATTTATTCATCGTCACTTGTTTGAAAGCCTCGCTCTTAAGGCAAGCACTTTCCGTTGTAAATATACGAGGATTACTTGTGTATTGGTACTTAGACGGATTTTGTAGGAATAACCAAATGTTGTCTGGTCTGGTCAGGATGATCTATTTATGTTTACTTGACCAAGAATAAATATAGTTTGTGCCTCTAATACCATTTAATTAAATGGTCCACAAATGTCCTTTCCAAAGGTTAAACTATAATGGCTATGCCACAATTGGGTTTGTTTGTATTTTTTGCTTTTTACCATTGTTTTTTATGATTCAGTCGCTCACATTGCTGTGGGCACTTATGCCGCCTTGCTTTCCATTTACCATTTTTTGTAACGCTGCCTTTCCTTGTTAGCCTTTTAATTTAAGTACTGTCGTGTGTATTGTGCTTCGTGGGCTAGTGTTTGTGTAATAACAAAACATAATTTCAAAGGTTACGTTATTTTAAAATACAGATTTTTGATACAAGCAGCGTTGTCAACTTGTCCCCTATCCTACTACTATGTATATCAGTGACACCACGTCAAGTTGCCAATATTTATTTTATTTGGTTATTTATTATGAAAATGTTACAATGCGACAATGGTTTATAATGTGTTTATTATCACTAAATCAAACATAAAAGCAAAACGGGTGTCATATTTAAAATTTTAAAACAGATTTTCTTTATATTAGGGGTACTTGAAAGACAAATAAGCAATTCATTAATTTCTAAGAACAGACATTATCGTGAAAAGAAATCACAGGTAGATGTTAATTATGTTCTATGATATAGTGATTAAGGTCAGATGATATTATGGTGTATTTATGCAGGATTGAACATCTATTGTATTCTAATTACTGACCAGATGCTAGGGGTGGAAAGAGACAAAACTTGTCAATTTTTGCCACTTTTTCATTGACACATGGATTAGGGATCCGGGAGTCGATCTCTTGATCCCTTCTAATCCGTCCTTCCATCCCTTTTCTTAGATAAATTCAGGTTTGATTACTCTTAACACATGGCTCGCTTTATAAACATAATCATTGAGTAAAGCACTAGGGCTCATGCATCTAATGGTTGCCTGGCAACAGAGACGCACCCCGTCTCTCACAGCTTATCCCGGATTAAAGAAACCGTGTAATACTGATAATCAGAGCTAAATTACTGCTTGCAAATGCCTAATGACTGCAAATTAATTTTGATTCATAAATTCATATTTGACATCTCTGTCATAAATGCCTTGAGATGGCTTTAAAATAAGATACATCATCAGATTCTGTATTCTTAGTGATTTACTTTGAAATCCCCCTAAGATAGATAATACCAAACGGTAAGTCTAGATGATAAAGTTTCCGACTTCGTTATGCTTTAATTTACCGGAAAAAAGACAGGTAGTTTCTTCGCAAATAAAACCGATGCAAACAAACCTAGTTATATATTAAAATATAATAATTATTTAGGATAAAATCTGGCCTAAGCCCACTGCGCAAGTGGGATGGAATATAAGATTTTATTCCCTGAACTATTTCTAGAAGCGGACTCATTTAATTAATGCGGCTTAAAGAAAAGTCTTTCCAAATCTGGTTTTATTCTCCAATCTTGATAAGAAGTACCCTGATTAGAATGAAACCATTTCATTTGATCAATTCATGGACTAAGATGTTATGATAGAGAATCCTTTCGAATTTAAGTGAATATGAATATTCTGAAACATGTTTATAGTTCAAATAGATAGCTTAGCTGTACCAAATTTAAATTAACCTAAGTAAATTGTCAGATCTAGCTAGGCTAATCCTCGGATGGGGGATAAAGGCCAACCAAAAGGCCAATAGTTAAGATTGCTTCATTAAGTTAAATAAAGTTTAAGAATCTGTCACTAATCAGATTAATGCTTTTAAAATCAAAAGTATTCACATTTTGGCAATTGGTTTATTGTTTTTACCATTAGTAAATGATCTTCCCATGTTCAATATCGATGAGTACCGTGACTAAAAGTCTTTGAGCGACTCATTTCTATCTCTCATAGTTAAGGGATGTGGCGAGTGGCAAGGCATGTATTTCAATATAGATAACTAGGTTCAAAGTTATTCTCAAATTCCTATTATCAGCTGTGTATGGTCATCTTCAGATCTTCGATACGTATTGGATGAAATACAAATCAACATACGGGAACCTTGATTGGTCGTCTGCTAGTCGTATTTGATGTCACGTGAGCACATGTTCAAAAGACCAATAAGCGATTGGTGTTTCGTTCACAACTTACAGATAAAGCTAAGTTTACTAATCCAACGGGCTTAAAACAAGTTAAAGGATTCAAGAAAATAGAGAGACATTCTACATGCTATATATTTCAGGGAATGAAGTAAGGGCTTAATGTGAGATCTCCTAAAAGCCCGACATTTTTCATCCAGTTGGGTCTGGGTCAACTTTTAAATCCTTTGCTTAGCTGCGGACTATTATTATCCCATAGTAAAGACCGGGATAGGAAGCTTAATCAAACTAATTAAATGGACTCACTAAATGACTCCCTCTGTCTAGAGGAGTTGGTCGGAAGCTGCGAAGGTAGTCACGTTCAGTCAGGCGTATCTACGATGACATTACAACCACTAGAACCTCCAAAAGCAACCCAGGTTACTGAAATTGGACACTTACCAATCCCACATGGGAAAACGACACCGTTGACTGGAGTAAAAACTTCTATGGACTCCACCAAAACAGGAGGTACGGTATGGTCATCCCGCGTGGCATTTTCCGAAGTACGGCCGCAATGAGGGGTCATCGGTGATATTTAGAATCTATGTATTCAATTAGTAAGAAACGTGCACTGTATACGTATTATCTAAATCCAAACTATTGGTTTCATTTTAAATAATTAATTCTAGGTTGATTGAATAGATAAAACAGAATTCACATTTGTTTACACTCGTTTTATTACAAATATATTTTATTTGAATACCTGTGCAAGAGTTTTCCTTTTTTAAATTATAAACATAACTGTCACCGATTCCAACTGTCAATTAAAATGCACGTTTTTTACGCACGCTTTGTGACCCTGATTCAAATTGTTAAAGTCTGCGTTATGGAGTGATACAAAATTGCAAAATCCGACATCATGGCCACTTGAGGATATAGTAGAAAATGTGACTGTTTTGAGCGATGTCACTTTTAATGGTGACAATGAAGGTATTGAAACTGCACGTGTGCATTGTTATATTAATTTCAAAATAATATGGAGGACACATAAAAAGGAGTATTTTAATCGAGCACATATGTGCACCTCTTAATAAATGAATATATTTAATTTAACGTTAAAACAGTAGCCATTCGGAAACTATGTAAAACGATTTGAAGAATCTCTGAGTTCGATCAAATATAAAATAATGTTCTTGTATTTATACTTATTTCAATTTTCATTTTCAGGAAAAACAATAATACGTCGAAATATATAAGAAATTGAACAATTTATTGTTTTTCTATTTGTTTTAAAATCACTGTTCGGGACATGAAGGGATTAATCTAAGAATAAAATGTGACCACAGGGAGACATTCTAGAAATCTTGACAGCCATCATCCAATTTCGCTCACAATACGACTGTATTAACGGACACTAAAATGGTTTTCGTTATGGTCAAATGGGCGTGATTTTTAACATTTACGGATTAACATTTTAGCTAAAAAGTAGTCAACCATGAAAATAATTAAAGAGTTTCGTTGTAATTTCTCTAATTTGCATATTTTTGTTAACTTTAGCAGAAATAAAAAGTGCAACGGGGACCGATATATTAAATAATTACAAAGGATAGTAAGCCGCCTGTATTGTTTCGTTTTTAAAAGCTGGTTAATAAAATTAATGCATTTTATTAAGGCGATTTAAAATTAAATATTACATACTTAAAGCATTTCCATTTTAATTGGGATAGCAAATACGCTATTTTTATATCGTTTTGCATTGCAAAACAATCTTTATGAATCAAATAAATTTAATAACTAATACACAAAAGGAAAATGGATATATGAGTATATCTCGACGATGTTATATTAATTTGCCCATACCCTCATACACGATTGGGTAATTTTAGAGAGTAGTGCACGCTAGACACTTGTTGTATGCTATTGTATTTGGATACATTATATTAAAACAATTTACTGGGAGTCTGAGAAAATCGCAGGTGATTATTTATAGGGGTAAATGATTGATGTTCTTTTTACCATTACTTCATATTTAAACATAATAAAAAACAAGGTAAATAATTTTCAAAACATAAAAATGACAATGAAGCATTATAAAAACGGTTTATCGAATAATTTGTATTGTTAATAGTAATACTCTTCTTCTAGAAAATAGTAATTTAGCATAAACTAATAAAAAGCTTAATTGTCCCGTGAATTGTTCCATAATCATGGGCTTTCACAGTAAATTCATGGTTCTCCTGACAAATACGAACCTTTATCCATTACATTGTTAGTACAACTATAGAGATAAGCTTTTATAATTGTATCTTGCCTAATGAATATATTTGGGTCATCAATAAGACCGAAAGCAATCATTCTTATGAAAATAATATCTGACATAATTTTAAATGTAATAGTATGGCAAACAAACGATGTATCAAACACTATTATAGTCAAATCTTCTGACTTACTGGACAATAAGCTTTTGAGTACATGCTATTGATAGAACACGTGGTTTATAATTATATTTTATTCAAGATCAATGAGGATGTGCCTTAATCATAATTGATATATGACGGTATTTATTTTGATATTTACCACCTTGAGTCAACACTTTACGTCGTATTTCTAATTAAACAAAGTCATTTTAATTTAGTTACATATCGCTATATTATCAATTAACATAATTATAATGAAATATAAAAGCCAACGGAATTAAAAATAGACTTTTCACATATAACCGGTGAGTTCTGAACCATCCAGGATTTGAATCGGGTTTACGTAATTTTTGTCATTTCACCTGCGAGAAAAGTAAATAACAGTTGAAAAACAACCAATGGACGCAGCTTTAAACGTAAGATACACCAAAATGGGTGTTAAAATATACTTCTTAAGGTAAGGGTTAACTATTTGATCACAAATATTTTATAATTTCAGATATGAATGAAACTACGTCCAAAACTAACCCGAGTGACGATAACTCATCCGACGAGTCAGATCTGAAGAAACGACGGCGACAGCGTCGGCAAAGGACGCATTTTACGTCACAACAACTCCAAGAATTAGAAGCAACATTTGCCAGAAATCGCTATCCAGATATGGCTACGCGGGAAGAAATATCTGCATGGACAAACCTGACAGAACCTAGAGTTAGGGTAAGGTTTAATATTAATCTCAATTCTAATCATAACTTAACAACAAAATGTATAAAATAGTTTTGTACTATCAATCGAAAGTTTCCTGCATAGAAATCGTGGTCGAAATATGAAAACTGTAAAGTAGCAATATCATAAAAACCAAACCGAACTTAAAATCAAAAGTTAATTGCGATTCTGCAGTAATACTTAAAGTAGTATCATTTGTAAGCTTGGCTGCCTCGTTTCTAATATTATATAATTTCTAAACTCGTTCCAATCGAAATTGCAAAGGGCAACATACGAATGACACATATGTACTCTATAATTGTAACTTCATTAACGTGGTAAAATATCTTGGACCCTTTTCCAGTATAGTTATTTTCGCTGATATATTGTACACAATAAGCAAACGCTCAACATAAATACAGCAGTAATTTCCAATTCTATGAATTTCAATGTATAATTTATTTTAAATGATTTAGTTTCACTATTAAAGTCCACCTTGTTTTCGACAAGACATCTCATCAATAACCTACGCCCAATCCACAGAATGTTTAAAAGACACAGTTTTCATTATTGGTATCTCAAGCGGAGAGAAACCGACTGAGCGTGAAATATGCGTCTCATTTCTTGGGAAAATACCGATTGTTCCCTCTACTTGATTACAATTCTACGCTTAAATTACATTTTTAATATTAATTAACAGCATAATGGCAGTTTCACGATAAAGAAATACCAATTACTGGGAATGTTAGGATAACGTTGAAATCCTTAAGAGTTCACTAAGAACATGTTGGATAAGACAATATATCCTTCACTGGGTAAATAAATACATTGGCTGGTAAAAGTTTTATAGGATAATTGTAAGGGATTTTCGAGATTTTGTGAGGATTATTTCATTATTCCACTGGATATTTGAGATAAATGTCTCTCTGTGTATAAAGTCAGTCCAATAAGCCTCGGAAAAGTTTATTCAAACGAGTAAATCTCTAAGTCTTAGGCATTCTTACACGCAGATTGGGTTTATTCATTTGGGAGGTAGAGATAATGCAAACTACCAGCCATTGACTTATTTGAAACGTTATAATCAGGAAATGACATCAACATCAATTAACACTATAGTCGGAAATAACCCAAAAATCTGTTCATTAAAAGCATTGTGAAAACATAATCAAGATACAATATCCGAATACGTTAACATGTCAAATAAGAGAGATTTCGCAACGCGCTTAAAATATTGTTCTTATAATTCCGTGTGTTTATAACTTATAACAGGTGTACACTACGTCATCATTTGTTGCGCAGCTCTATTCATTTATACAGCGCCATCCCGCTTATAAAACGTTGTTCATGAGTGAGTTAACACTTATCTCGTTGAGACATAGTTATTGGATGAGGCACATATACATTTGGCATGAAGTCATATTACTATCCAACCCACCTTATAAAAAGGAATTTGGAGGCAAAATAATTCAATCGTGGTGAACATTAGAATGATCGATAAGATATGCATTTCTATACGTATAAGTACATATTTTTGCGGAACGCCAATTTCAGTTCACTTATACTTATAATGTATAGCCTATACGCATTACCCTTTGCATTCGTTTGACTTCACTTCTTAAAAGAGAGCTTCGTCTTCTAGTTTAACTAGACTCTGCACGCATGGTAATACGCATTCACGTATGGGCGAAATCACTCTATCATGACGTCGGGAAAACCTAATGGTCACATAAAGCGCCTAAGGTAGATTGGCTCCTAGGGTTCCATGTCGATATTCTTCCACATACAGTATGGAGATGTCGAATTCAAATAGCCTCCAATTTTTTCATTCCAAAATTTGAATTGCGAGTTGTGGTCTAATTGCCAAAATAATCAAAAACACAAGAAGTGGTCGAGAAATCGGTTCAAATCTTTTGAGCTGCTGATTATTAATTCATGGTCAGATATTGGAGAAAATAACAACATTCTGACATTTTTATTGTTGAAAATATCGAGTAACGTCTCTGGGAGCCAGTCCTCATTTGCCAAGACACAATGTGCGAAAAATATATGACATGTTAGAATTATTTTTTGAATATTCCTCAACCCGTCGTAAGTATTTGATATATCATAACATAATTGCTTATTTGTTTGTGAATACGATCATTTTATGCAATTCTCATGTTATTAATGCGATACATAATCATTGTGTTGATATATCTTATGTTAACTTTTTTGGAAGCATGTGAAATTAAGCATTCCATAAATAAACGTGTGCAATGTTTTCAATTAAAATAAATGTCTGATAAAATATATACATTTGCGATATGCTGATATAAATACATTTTAGCTTTAATATATTACGTGCATGCGTTTCTTCCTAGAGTCAAGCTTATTTACAAAATCAAAAAACGCTCATATAAACAAAAATTCAATTGGTTTATGGCAGTTTCAAAATTGTATATTTGCATACTAAATCACATTTAAAAAGCGAATCTGCTGACTTGATGGTCGCGATTCTACAAAAGGCTTTCGATATATCTCACTCTAAGCTAATGGCCCTATTTGATAACTGAGATATCATCGGTATAAATACCATAATTAATCACGTATCAATAATCTCTTTATAATTAAGGCTAATTACCCAATCAGATTATCATATGTAAACCTAGAGTTCCATAATTTCGTTTTCCATATGTCAAATATCTGTTTCAAATAGCATGTGAGAACATTTCTTTATGCTATGCTTCTTTATTTTATGACAATACAGATGATACTTAACACTTACTACATACACTAATATGCTAAACACTTTAATTATAAACGATCAAGAATGTATTGTAAATGATTAAGTATCCGGATGAGACATGAAAATCAGTAAATGAAAACTTTATCAACCATTTATTGCAAGAAAGATATGTATAAAATACCAACAGTTTAAACGGTATATTTTGAACATAAACAATATAAACATCTTAAATATCTCGGACTTCAAAAGGTGTTACGTATTAATAACTGTTCATGTGTTGGACACATTACTACATTAATGAGGGTGTGATAAATCGAAAGATTATTGCGAGGAAGAAATAGCAAATATACCTTAACGTAAGTCATCTGACGGTTCCCAGCGTCATTATTTACGTTATTGCTAGTTTTCGAAAAAGCATTTATTTGGCCGAACAAATTGAAAAATTAAATCTTGGACTCAAACACGCATCATAGCAAATGTCGTCAAACACGGATTCTGATATAGACATGCCGAAAAAAAGATTTCGCCGGAACACTGATACGCCACCATGACATCATCATTAAGTCCGAATACATTTTATTCATCCCAATAAAGTTGATATTTCTTGTTAATTAATGGCCTACTCAAGCTTAATTACTTTAATTCAAGTCGCTCGTAACACTAACGAAATGCCGCCATGAAATCAGTGTAAAGCACTTCGCCTTTATTTTAGCGCACCTCGGGAGAGATAAAACTACCCAGTATGCAAGCTAACCGTCGTTCGAAGGAAATCACATTAGGGTGATATTACAGAGGCAAAACACGGAGGAATTTGCAAACTTTAATCCCCCTGGTGGGTCCCCGTGCTATTCAATAAGCCATAAATATCGGCGTACAATTATACTAGGGCTGGCGTTCAATCATACCGGGATTAGGCCCCTCAAGCTTCTCGGCCTATTATTTCCAGATAACTCGAGCCCGAAATGGGATAATTTATTATGGGGATATCTCTAAATCGGTCTATGCATTTTCTACGTTTAATCGGATTTCCGTCAGAAACAAAGGGCTAGTTAGCTATATAACATTATTTTAGACTATCCCCAAAACGCTCATTTGCTGAATTAGCTGATCACTTTTATCTCACTGACTTAAAACACGGATTTACCACTAGCAAATTTCAAATTAATTTTAATAGGGTTTATGAAAAACGAATCTGAACAGAGTGTCCTGCTTGACAAGATTGTAATGAATTGGCGAGATCATTCTGAAGAAATCTTATCAAGCGCTTTGGTAATTCAAACACGCCCTTTGTTTCACACTTTGATGGATTGGACGGAGCGTCTACTTGGCTTAATTACAAAGTAGCAATAGATTTAACCTCGCCAGGGGGAGAGACACGGGGTAGATATTAAAAGGATAAAGTCTAATTGATGCAATAGTCCCACATAAGTCCCCCCAAGTCTACCGATGCTTAAATGATTGTAGGCAGAATTAGGTTCGGATTTTCTGCGGATTTTTGCTAAGACTAACAAAGTATAAACGGACCATAATCACAATTGGATAAACATATTTCTCAATCTGCTTAAATTCATTAACTACCATGTCAATGGTTTATAAAGATCACACTATTATCTAATAGAATACACACACTAATAATAATAGATAATATCTTTTGATACATAATGTCATATATGACATATCTATGTATTGTATTGAAACTTAACAAGCACTTTTGGCGAAGTGAATGTGGTTAATTATAAATACTAGTTATATACTATATTATATGAATGTTCGCTTTATTTTCAGGTATGGTTTAAAAACAGACGAGCAAAATGGCGCAAACGAGAGAGAAATTTAGAGCCCTTTAAAAATGGATTCGGTCCCCAGTTCAATGGTTTGGTGCAGCCTTTCGACGATGGGTTATATAGCGGATATTCAACATATAACAATTGGGCAACTAAGGTACCAAGTCATTTAGGATCCAAAGGCTTTCCATGGGGCTTAAATTCAGCTGTGAATCCACTAGGCTCAGTAGCGGCCTCACAGCCGTCTATGTGTTTCGGGACTTCACCAACTAGTTCAATGAGTAGCAGTATGATGCCCAGTATGCCGAGTGTACCCTCGATGACGATGGGTAGTTCAATGAATAATCCAGCAGCCCCTTGCCCATATGCTCCACCCGCGCCTCCATATATCTACAATAGAGACCAGTGTTCAAATAGCATAGCGTCGCTACGCCTAAAGGCGAAACAAGCGACAAACTTCGGATATCCTACTGTAGGACCAAGGCAACCTGGGGGACTTTCTGCCTGTCAATACGCTACGGGAGCCAGTGTATGACATTATATAACTCAAAACCATAGCGAGCCGATACCATGACATTAACGGAATAGGCGTATGCGCATGCCGGGATACTGCGCATGTGCAAAGCGAATGGAGAATCGCAAGAAGAATCGCGTCTATTTGAAACAGTTCATGTAAAGAGTACCAAGTTAAACTTTGTATAGACAGCAATGAGATTCTGTATGCGATTTTGATCCAAAAGAGTGAACATTTGCAAGAGGTGGTAATACTCGTAAACTCATTTGTTATAGTATGCTGTACATAGAAGTATAATTGTATATTTGATTGTACATATAAATAATATATATACATAATTTTATGGTTAGATGACTTAATTGTCACTGGTAAATATGGTGCATACTTTTTAATGTATATATTAGTAGTTAAAACGTTATATCAGGGTTACTCATGTTTGCAATAAATATGAACATACAACTTGTATAAGTGTCGCCAACATTTTCCTTTTTATTATAAATAAGATACATTTTGAGCCATAAATAATTAGACATTGGTTTGCTGAAGTGGGGGTAGGGGGTCCCGTGTTAAAGCTAAAAATATTATCAAGAGACCAATCAGTGGATGAGATCATACAAAATGTAAACAAATTTTAGGGGATATGTATTACTCTTTCAACCCAACTTGGTTTGGGAATGTCGATAAAAAGTTGACCACTCAAACTGTATACAGTAAGTAGTGATATGGCAAATCCAATTGACTTTTACGTTCAAAGATATTTCTTAAAATGTCAGTTAGTGTTTTTCATGAACACATGGTCAAATGTAGTGTTCGTCAACTGGTGTTAATTTTTTGAATTGGTGAATGCAGAAATGAGATAGAAATAAGTGTTATGATATTGTCCCCTTTATTAGGATAAATGAATAATTTTATAGTATCGACCATATTCAACTTGTTTTAAAAAATGTATTTACCATGGACATGTTTTCAAAGCATTTTATATGACCTATAGTGTTGTGATGTTTTATGGCTTTAATTTCAAACAAATATAAAATGTTGTAATACGGCGACTTTGTTCAGGAGAATGGAAATTGATAGTCAAAAATGAGAATAAACTAGTCCATGATGAAAATAACCGATCTATTTTGTTATTTCCTTTACCATTCAATTTCCGTTTTTGTTATTTAATAACTATAATAGTTAATATGAATATATGAGAAGGAGGGCACTGGAAATGGAGATAAGAATATCAAATAAATGAACGTGTTTAGAAAGTGCAGCTTCGTAAGCCAAAAGCACAAATTGACACGTGAAAACACTAACACCAAACAACTACGAACACATATTCCTGTAATTAAGTTATAAAAAGGATCTAATACATTTTCTCGAACCATCCAATGTCTTATATTCATAAAATCAAAACAATTAACGATTTGAAATTATGCAAACAACATTAGAAAACAAGAATATGTCTACATCTTTCGTTTATGTCGACACAGATTATTTTAGTGCTCCGTCAACCTCACTTCCCCGATTCACCCCGTACAGCGATGGGAGTTATCTGTTAGATTGCCGGAACACAACCTTGTAGTAAGCAGAGTCAACTCAATGTAGATGCTGACCCAATCCCACCAAAAGTAGTCCAGCATGTGAAGATTCAAACAAAAATTTCGTGAATTAAATATTGAATATTCTAGTACTTAGTATTATTTTACAAAATAATATAAAAAACACTCACTCACTCACTCACACACTCGATTCATATTGGCCATTAAAGTGAATAATAGAAATGATGTTATCGCAATGTTGATTTTTTCTTCGTTCTAATTAGTAATACGTCAACTAATTTGCCCCGTATGTCATCCTTACTCTGTTTTGGCTTCCTTCAACTTCTGTTTGTCAAGGGTTCATACACTCCCCTCCACAAGTTTGGTAGCCGAAAACTTCATTTTGGACCACTTATCAACGTTTTTTTGTGTTTGACGACTAAAAAATGAAACTCAAATGAAATGAAAAATACATTTATCGAAGTCATTAATATCCATACTATTGTATGCAGGTTTTGATGTGCATGCTTTTCAATGAAAATTTGACAAATTCATGGAGGGGAGTGTACATCTCTTAATGGTTACATTTTACAACAAATGTCAATTCCCATGACATCTTTTGGCTTTGTTTACGGTAAAATATATTAACACATTCATTTGAATAGCACTACTTGAATTAGGCGGGAATTTTATAATCCGTCGTTTTTAACAAACTCAGGCAGAAGCTACTATTTTTGAGATGGTGGGAAAAGTGACGCCTGAGATATTACATGTATGATGTTCATTTTTTATCTCCGTGTTCTAATGCAGAGATGTCAATATACTGTATAATGATTTAGGAATATGGTGAAAACAATATAAAACTACTAGTGACATCTTTATTTCTTCATGGCATTTATTATTATTTAAATTAGGAATTAGGAATCCACATCATTGCGAACAATAAACACGCATGAAACTGTCCTAACAACTATACCAAAGGTAATTGGACAAGATCTATGTTTTTTTAATTCGTAAATAATATATTAATTCACTATATACTATAAAACGACATCAATACATTTAATATTAACATGACAGCTACGACCAAAATCTAGCGGGACAATATATTCGTTCACTGCTGTCAACGTATCTATAGTCCGTCAGTAAAAATAGTCCGGGTTTATATTGTATACCAATACAGAAAATAGGTGTTAGGACCACACACACTAGGGTGTATGATCACACGGACCATATATTCAGGGAGACTGTATTTGACACCGTGTTTTGTGTGTTGTATGATATTGTGCACGCAGCGATTCTCCATACCTCACGTGAATTTGTATGAAATGACACAATTAACATGTCTTATCACTTTCAAATGCATAGTGTTACGTTTCGGTTGGTAGCCTAAGTTTTGATAGCGAGTTATTAATTGTAATTTATTTCTGTACACTTTCATAGTGTACTTAGGTGTACACATTCTACCCACCGAAATTAATTTGGAATCTAAATGAAAATTCAAGAGTTACGACAGAATGACAAATACGTATAGAGTTGAATATTTCATTACAAGTGTCAATAAATTTGCTACGAGTAGGTATCGTACTCACATTCAACATTTATTTGTTAATAAGTAATCAAAACTATATAAGTGAGATCCAGAGTCATTATACTTCGGCCTGATTTCATTCAAAACGTCCAGTATGACTGCGTAATGACAATTTTATCAGGATTAATTAAAAAGCTTATAAAACATAACAGATTACGAAACTGAAAAACCTTATAAACTGGTTGAAGTTTAACATAATCTTACGATTACGAAAACGTTCATACTTTAAGGCACTACACGACAGGATAAAACATAAGGTTGAACTTTGTCATTAGAAATGTCCTTAAAATACATCCTTTAATCATATCATATTTACACAGACAGGCATATGTGAGTGAGATAAAGAAAGAATATACACCAAAAGAAAACAGAAGAAATAATGGTATAAAGACAAAAACAAAATATCAGGAATAAAACAGAATGGCGGACGAGAATGGAAATATATGGTGGGAACCAGTTTGCGGTTCCAGCGATTTTAACAATGATTCGGATACTTGGGCTTTTTGGGTAAGTTCGTAGAAATAGTAATTTTACGTAATGTTTTTTTTATTGAATCAAACTTGTAAAATGTATCATTTCACGTTTGGTTCAATAATTACGTAATATGGTTTATTATAGATTCAGGATTTTATATTCAAAAATAATTGTGCATTAACCGGAATCTCAACTGATATGTGTTTTATAATGTTGCCACTTGTGTATTTTCTACTTTTCTACTTGTTTATTTATAATATATGTTTAGGGAAAGAGCAGTATGTGGATCAAGACATATCATTTGTGTGACTTTAGTACCTTCATACTTGAGAACTAAGTCGAGTGTCAAGTCTGTCATTGACCTGGCGTCAATATCTAGATACCGACTTTCGTGCAAAAACAATATCATAAGTTAACACATGTTGTATTATTCATATATAAGTAGTGTTTATTACATACATCCTTTCATTACCTTTGTTTCTAGAATTACTGAGTAATACTAATATATTGTAAAATGTAAAGGCATTTGAACGGGTTTAATTTGGAGGAGTCAGTGTATATGATCATGAGCACGTGTCAACTTTTAAAATAAATAATATGAATACCCCAGAATAAGTAAACATAGATGCATTGCTACGTCGGTATTGTGGCTTCTTCCTCTGCTGACAATCGATTACATGTTGTTATCAACTAGATAAACTACTACAATTTGACATATTTGGTAAACCAACATCAAATAATTTCAGTGTGAAAATTTGTACTAAAAAAACAATTAATGTTGAGGTATCAGTAGAGTTTATTGACCTCGTAATATCTTCGAAATAAAAACGCATATCCTAATAGTCATATTTGTTTTCTGAAATGTTTGAATTGTAGATAAGTGATATATGAAATCAAAGCAAGAGATATATAGGGCTTATTCATGCTAGTGAAGTGGCAATGATCTGTTTACACACAAAGAAAACAACACTTCCTAACATAAAATCCCAATTTTTCACAATTTGGCGTAAAACAATGCAACAAAAAATAATACAAAATTATTTTAAATATATGATTTAGGTTTCTAAGCTATAATTTTGAGGTTATTTTTCTTATCAATACCAATAAATTATGTAATCAGTGTATCGACGTTTTGTAATGTTTCCAGTGAACTTAAGGAAAATGATTTTAAATATATATATATAATCGTTATCATTATCTCCCTAAAATTTGATTATATCCAGCGGTAAGATCAAAACAGAAACAACCATCAGAAAACTTGATGATAGCAAGCAGTAACGTCGGGGAAGAATTGTAAGGCGATCGATTGCATATACAAACTACAAATTATTGTTTTATAAAACATAACACAATAACAATAACTGGCCATCGTAACCCCGGGGATCGCGATGTCCACACTCACATCCCTCCCGGCGATGACCAGTCTAACAGACAAGCTTCTACCGTCTTACCAACCACACGCGCCTTGTTTTGTTATTTCATTGGGAGAGGGATCACGGGAATTAGCGGTTTGTGTCTTATAAAATGTAAAAAAGTTCGAATCAAAATGTTTACGTTTTTTGAACCCTTATGATGAAATACATTTTTCGACCCAAAAACCGGAAGTTTTTTCAGCAAATGGTATTTTAAAAGAATCAAGACATATGCACCTCCATAAACATTGCTTCAAATGTTGCTGCGCTATCGTGTGCTACGGATCCTTCATATTCGGAAGTCATACCATGGACTATTTACTGACGTACCCATATACAAGCATGTCCATGTGTGATACTTTCTCTGTTACATTGGTTTTGGGATAAATGACGGACACAACTTTTTTAAATCGCCAAAATGCAACTTTAGATAAAGTGTGGTACTACAAACGTCTTGGTATTACCAAACATTTACATTTCATGAAACAGAACTGCCTTGAAACCATAACTCTTATTTTTCCAGAGTTTCAGTATGACTGTCAATAACACGGATCCTGATTTCACTCAATGTTTTCAACACACAGTTTTATCATGGGCCCCGTGTGCTTGGCTGTGGTTGTGTTCAATATTCTATCTGCCTTACCTGATCAACCGAAAAACTGCCAATCCTAGATTGAGAGAGCATAGCGCCTTGAACATAACAAAAACGGTAAGTAGAGAAATGGGGGTTGTATTGGACACGACTTGAGAAAATACCTTCAAACCTTTCCAAACGTGGCTTCATATAGAACGATACACTAGTCATTGAACTGCTCTCGCTCTTTATTTTTATAGTTTTTATTTTTGATTTTTATGTATGACCGCTTGTACTGTTATTATTGCCCTAAATTCACTAGTATTTATATCCCAGCAAAGTATACACCTGCAATATTAATTTAGTTCTTTTTATAACTAGGTAGTCTGCGTTTTCATATGTTTATTGGTGTTGCTGGATCTAGCCAAGGCGATAGCTGAGAATGTAGATGGTCTAACGCCAAGGGTAGCAATGTATATCTCACCTGCAGTATACTTACTGACCTTTGTAAGTACTCTAGACGTACCTGAAAACATAACTATACCACCCCCCTCCCCTAGTCCCCCGCATTTTAAAAAACTTCCGAAAAAGTACCATTTTTTCAAAAGTCTACCGTAAAACTACCGCATTTTTGTTGAAAAATACCACAAGAACTTCCGCACTTTGGAAAAATATACCGCAACAATACCACAATTCCCAAAAAATTACCGCAAATTTTTAGTTTTAGGTTGCCAGGTATGAAGATGCGAAATTCCAAAATTAGTGGCTACAAAATCCATATGTGTATTTGTAAAAAGTTGAACTCAAAAGTCAAATATACATATAGACACAATTGAGATATTCATTGCTGCAATATTTATTTCAAAAAATATTAAATATGTTATCTAGTAAGTTCTAAAGTTTATATTTCATTCAGTTACAAAAACAAGTTACATACTGATCATAGGATGTAATACATCAATTAATATCTCACTTGTACTTTATTTATTCTGTTTATGACATTGATAGATAAACATATACTTATAAGATCCTGAAGAACTACCCAACTCGCATACATTAAATATTTTTGCGTACAACAATTATTAACTTTATGGTCCAAGCATTAGTCGGTTGATAAATGATAATTCACGAGTCCTTAATCAAACCAGCATTAATTCTGAATACATCATTTGATAATTTTGAACCACATGTAGTACTGCAATACACTCTCAAAAATAATATACCACGTGTTATCATGTTAAAACCTCACCAAAGTATCATTCTATAGAACTTGCACATATAATCTGACGAGATTTACAGGTCATTGTGTATGATTTATGAAATCGGTGCTCCATTCTCTGCTTGCATAATAAATACTCAACCTATGTTTAAAATCTTAAATTACTTATGCTGTAGACTTCATACTCATACGAGTACATCATTGAGCGCCATCTATATACAGTATTGTAATTTTTCAGGCGTTGGCTGCATTTATCATTTACCTAGAGTTCACAAAAGGTGCACATTCATCTGGTGTTATCTTCGTGTTCTGGATCCTTCTTTTGTTGTTTGGTGTGGTACCCTTCAGAACAAATATTCTAGATGCAATGAGAGAGGTATGCATGACATCTGTATATCAGTGAAGAGTTAGATCGAAAACTTCATGTACAAACTACGAAGCTCTCTTTTGAGAAGCGTTGCAAAGCGTGCAAAGCATTGCAACATATGCAAATGCTATATTATATAATAGCAATTATTCCAGGACCATTTTTTTAAAAAGTCAACAACTAAAAATATAAAATAAAGAAATACTAAAATTAAATATAAAAGTTCCAAAATAAACCGACATATGATCCTAGATAACGATATATAAAACATTTTTTCCAGGGAAGAGTAACCGACTCATTCCGCTTTGTAACCTTCTACATTTTCTATGCCCTTGTGCTCCTCGAGTTTGTTCTACATCTATTTGCCGACGCTGCAGCCATTCCTGGTATAAAGCCAGTTGATGAAGAAAAGCAACCTTTACTGCGACCTGTTGCTGATACAAAGAACAAAGTTATTTACAAAGTAAAATGTTATAACATGATTCTTTGAATATGTTAATTAAGTATGGAAAGAATATCTCGAGATAATTGTCATGCGGATGTGTTGTTGTCCTCTAAGAACCCGGGCGTAATAATAAGTTCTTCGAATTCCCTACTTCTAGTACTTTGGGTGTAAATGTATCAGGGTATAGGTTCCTTGATATAACACTGGAGAGGAAACCAGTAATCACCGTGATACTACAATTCCAAGTGAAAGATCCTTTAAAATCCAGTGACCCTAGGAATTGTATTGACTAATCTGAAATATGCTTTGAACCCCTACCCTAAAAATGATATACTGTAAGAATAACCATATAATATGTTTCATATACAGAATCCATGCCCAGAGCTTAAAGCGTCGTTCATATCGAGAGTAACATTCTGGTGGATAACAGGGTGAGTGATTTATGCTGTTGTATTGCAAATAATTGTATTGTTTTGTATTTTATTGTACTTTACTAACACAAGTCCGATGAGCAATATCTCTCGGAATACCCAAAATGAATATTTATTTATTGTTGTGCACGTAGTCATATACTACTTTGTAAAATATCTCGTTGCACTGCTCCTGTGAAGTAAACGTCGGCACCATACGCATGAACTTATTTTCACATTTATGAATTTATTTCCAGCTTGATCATCCGTGGCTACAAAAAAGCTCTTACATTTACTGATCTTTGGGATTTGAATGTCGAAGATAAGACTAAGAGCGTTTGGCCAACCTTTGAACAAAATTGGGATAAAGAAATTGATAAATACAAGGAAGCAACGAGGTATTAATTCAACATTTCTCAAAGTTACATCAAACATAATTTAGGTTAGAAAAACACATTTCGGTGATACGTCGTTCAAGTACCAGCTATTAAGATACACATAGATGCGTTATAGTTTTATAATGTTTACAGTATAATATTGTGCGATACTTGCAGCGCAGTTCCACATTACAAGTTTCCAAAGCAAGTTGTAAAGGCCCAACCAGGAAGGCCTGGTCGACCAACAAATGGTGGACCTGAGCAGTCTAAACAGAAAACAGATGATGTTAACATTGACCCGCATGAAAATATAGATCCAGTAATAATGAAGGCCTTTAAAACTGGATCACTTTTTAAGGCAATTTCAAAAACATTTGGGAGCAAATATCTACTCTCTGGTTTTTATAAACTCATCTATGATTTAGTGAGCTTCGTCAATCCTCAGATCCTTAAGTGAGTGACTTATACAATATTAGGTTTAAGTAATATTAAGAATCTTACTTTCTAACATTTTTATAGTCGTGTCTAGAATAACAGTCAAAATAACTTTTTTCAATAGTTTTAAATCCAATTGTTTTGTTTCTAATCTTTTTGACACTAATAAAAATCAATCAAAAACATCCCATTTGTTATCTTTATAAATACTTACTTTTCATGGGTAACTTCATTTATTTTTGTAGTTTGCTCATTGCCTTTGTTGGAAGTGGGGATCCTTTCCTGTGGCGGGGCTACATCTACGCTGTGTCCTTATTTGTTGTTTCCGTCTTCAAATCAATTATGTTTCAACAATATTGGCACGGCTGTTATGTTACTGGTTTGAGAGTAAGAACAGCAGTTATAGCAGCGGTGTATAGGAAGGCAAGTATATTCAAATTCTATAATTATTGAATTCTCTGTAAATGATTATTTAATAAGGTAGATAATAAAAATATAACACAGCTTGACTTTATAAGAAGACTTGCAACTTTTGTAGATGCATATTCTCGTTCTTGCTCTAAAGCTCAAACACTTCTAAATGCATGAACTCTAAACGGATCGTTTGGAGTATGATTGATTTCAAAATTAAAATGTAAATATAAACTATATTTATAAGATGTTTCACTAGTGCTATATTAAGATGTATTTTCAGTCTATTCGATTGAACAACGCGGCCAAAAAGAGCTCAACCGTAGGTGAAGTTGTCAATCTGATGGCAGTTGACTCTCAGAAGCTTCTGGAAGCTCCACCATTTCTTCACATGGTTTGGTCAGCGCCATTTACAATTGCCGTTGCCATATACTTCTTATGGCAACAGTTGGGACCTTCTGTACTTGCTGGATTAGGCGTGACTATTTTGATGGTACCAATCAATGGATTCATTGCTACTAGAATCCGAAAGTATCAAGTGAGTAAAGCCAGATGATTTACGAGGCAATCTCTAACCTAAATTCTTCTATAAATTGCATTATTTATAGGTAAAGGGTAAATGACGATACCACTACCATGTGTTGATCATGAGTTGAAATAAAGTCGTAATCCTTTTCCAGATAGCCCAGATGCGTTTGAAAGATGGTAGAATAAGGCTCATGAACGAGGTTTTGAGCGGTATGAAAGTCTTGAAGCTCTACGCATGGGAAGGAGCGTTCCAGGACAAGATTCTAGAGATAAGAAACAGGGAAATTGCAGTACTTAAATCTAGTGCTATTCTGCAAGCAGTCAGCTCTATCTCTTGGTTCTGCGCTCCATTCCTGGTAAGATTATATCGTAGTTCATATGACTGATGAGTATGTGATAACATAGTTGTGTATACAAATCTCACTTGTGATTCAACCCAAGCATCGACAATGTTCTCAACACAATCTTTATGAAAAATGACATATCATTTTCATTCATAGGTTGCTCTAGCTTCGTTTGGGACATTTGTGTCTGTCTCGGAGACCAACATACTAACAGCACAGAGGGCTTTTGTATCTCTGTCACTTTTCAACATTATGAATTACCCGATGTCTATACTCCCTGCTACCATTACGTACGCTGTTCAGGTAACATTGTTCTTAATGCACTCGTTTTTTGTCGTGTAACTCGAACTGGTGGCCCAAGTAGACCACTTCGATACACCAACGTGTCTATTAAAGAATAATGCATGAAGTAATGGATGTTTTTAATTAACCTCGTAGTCTTCGTTTTACGAAGTTGTTTCATGCATGGTGTAACTATATGTATGAGCAATGAATAATTTATATTTTTAGGCGGCAGTATCTATCGGACGTCTTGGACGATTCTTGAAAAACCCTGAACTCGATCCCGATAACGTTAGCTATGAGTCTAATTACGGTACGTACTGTTTGACATTGGATACACTATACTTAAAACAAAACAAAAAGAAACTTTAACTTTTGACAAGCGTTCTAATAGTTTATCATGATTATCATAGAGCCTCTGCCTGCTCCCCTGAAACGTGTCAGCATTTTTGTTGTTAACGTTCGTGATGAAATGTATGCACATGGTTCGTCAGTTGCTATATGTTTGCTTTTAGAGAGCGTAATGACAATTGATGATGGCACATTTGCCTGGGACAAAGATGAGGAGCCTATTTTAAACAAGTATGCTGAATATATTATTTATCTTTAACATATTTCATGTAAATAAGAATGAATTTTGCTTTTAACACTTTCATCATTTTCTTTGTAAACGTCTTAGTGTCATGTAACGAATGATATGTTCATGGAAATTGCTATTTAACTGAATTTGCTAACATCGGCATTCGAACATTAATCTGAGACATTATATTGTCAATCGTTTCCAGTATTAACATAAAAATCCCCGATGGCAAGTTAGTGGCAGTGGTTGGGATGGTGGGGTGTGGGAAGTCGTCTCTGATGTCAGCTATCCTTGGTGATATGGATGTCATCAGTGGAAAAGTTTCCCTACGTGTAAGCACATTATTTTGCGTCCAAATTGAATCATATTATCATTTTAAAGTTTGCTTAACTTAAAAATGCAAACTACTATCACGTGGAACTGAGTTGAATTCGTACATAAGAATAACATTAAATCACAAAAGAGGTCAATATAAGATGTCCTTATCAAAGAATTATGATTAAATTTAATTGCAAGTTACAATTATATAAATAAGACTAACAGTCTCCTTATTAGTAACTTTAGAAAAAATGATTGCACCCGGTATCCAACGACATCATTAACCAAGCCTAAGTTGATATCCAAAACTGTATGCTTGTTATATTCTGTTGATTTCAGGGCTCTATTGCATATGTCCCTCAACAGGCTTGGATTCAGTTCAATACTTTAAAGAATAACATAATCTTTGGTGCGCACGAGGATAAGAACAAATATGATAAAATCATCAGTGCAACAGCCCTAAAAGCTGACTTAGAGATACTACCAGGCGGTGATCAAACCGAGATTGGAGAAAAGGTATGGACTGAAATAATAATTGTCGAATCACTAAATAAATGCTGATCTAAGTTTGACATTTTCAAACATCAACGTTAACATTGTCGATGACATTAACTTGATAATCTTTATAACGTTAGTGGATTAACTTATTACAAAAGTTACTTTAAAATAATGTCGGGGATGCTATTGTTAACCATCGGAATAGTTAATTCTGATATAAACGTGCCATTCCTGATTTTAGGGCATCAACTTGAGTGGGGGTCAGAAGCAGAGAGTGAGTCTCGCCAGGGCAGTGTATCAAGACAAGGACATCTATCTGTTGGACGATCCTCTTAGCGCTGTCGATTCACATGTTGGCAAACATATATTTGACAATGTCATTGGCCCAAAGGGAGTACTGAAAAACAAAGTAAGACCATAATTCTACAATGAATCGGTACAATGATTGTTTATGGTTAAATAATATATTTTATCTCCTTTTAATGGAGCAAGACGCAATGCAATTCTGATCAATGCTGTTGTATGATATACATAGGGAATGCAACTTAGCAAATCGGTCAATATTTCACAAAATTATGATATTAGTCATTTATTTCTTGTAGACAAGGATTCTCAGCACAAATGCAATCAACATACTTCCCAAGTGTGACGAAATCATAGTATTGAACAATGGTCGAATCTCAGAGATAGGACCATATAATGAACTTTTGGAAAAGGCAGGGGCATTTTCTGAATACATCGCCACTTACCTCAACGAGAATGAAAGTGACGATGACGAGAGTGACGAAGAAAGTAAGTATTATACAGGGCGTATCAAAATAAACGCAACAAGTACAGGCCCGTAGCCAGAATTTGCCAAGGGGGGGGGGTTCAGTTTTCAAAGATTTCCAGGGGGGTTCACATTTGACAATTTTGGCCCAAATATGACCAAATCACTTGAGAAGTGCTCAAAATGGTGAAAAACTGCATGATTTTGAAAGAATTTTTGGCCAAGGGGGGGTTCGCCCGAACCCTGCGAACCCCCCTGGCTACGGGCCTGAAGTATCTCGTAAAATCACAAAACTAGTGATGACTACATCAATTTCATTCAATGTACCATAAAGCCACGTCTCTCCTCTTTGCCATGATATGTCATTCATTCAAATGTGGCAATGGTTGGGTGAGAAATCCTTCCATTTGCACACTGGTTCAAAATCGGCTCTGCACCAAGTTTTAGATATTGCAAAAATCAGTGTAAGGGTTAAGTGCCAATGGAAGTTCCCCTGAATTGAATTGTTGTGACTTTTTCTTTTGGAGCTATCTCAGGAGCATCTGTGCTCACAATTCCTCCACCAGATATTGCAAAATCTCCAGAAAGAATTGTCCATGGGCTGTTTTTCTTTGCTTTAACACACAGATGACTCAGGGCTGAACCATGCATGACGTGGACAGATGAGCGCATCTTTATGTGCAAGGAAGTGGTGGCAATTTGGAGGGGTATAGGATGTATTCTTGCAAGAGTATGAGTAAGAACACTTTACTGTCTATGCCACACCTGTCACACCTTCTTCCAATAGCCCCTATGCCCCTTGCACTGACTTTTGCAATGTTTAAAACTTGGGTCCGAGCTGAATTTTGCCCCACTTTGCAAAATTAATGATTATTCAGCCAACCATGACTCCCTGTGAATGAATGATATTCCATTGCAAAGAGGAGTAATTTGGATTTTTGGTACATTGAACGAAAAGGATGCAGTCAGCATTGGTTTTATGTTTCCTTCCAATATTGCATCGGGCTCCGTACACTGACTTTTGCGATGTTTATAACTTGGCCCAAAGCTAATTTTGGCCAACTTTGCAAATGGAATGATTACTCGCCCAACCATGACCAAATATCAATGAATGATATATCATTGTAAAGAGGAGACACATGGCTTTATGGTGCATTAAATGAAATCAATGCTGTTATCACTGATTTTGTGCTTTTTCGAGATAACAATCTGTTGCGTTTTTTTTTTGATACGCACTGTATAAATCAGGGGAGTATTCCAAAGCTGCACAGTGGACACGTATATTTTAAATATACACACATTTTGTACCTAAACCACGAATGTCATTTTCCATATAATATTGCACTTGGGTTCCCCATTGCTTATTTTTAGTTATTGTCGTGCATGAAGTGATTCGTATTGGTTAGATTGCGACTCTAGTACCGTTATGTGTTTGTTGTCAATGTAGTATTAATCATACTATAGTTACGTGTCCGGTAATTTTGACTACATACTAATTTCTAGTCAACCCGGGCAGTCACCAAGATATCGACTACCTCGATATTCAATGTTTTTATGTCAGGGAATATTCTTTTTTAAGTTATACAGCAAAAACAAGAACTAAAACGCTTGGTTTCTCAAACGGGGATGTCATCTGGAAAGTCTGATGGAGAGACTGAGAGTATGCGAAGTGGAAGCATACACAGTGGAGGTCGGGGCAGCGTAAGACGAAGACGGTCCAGGTAATGTAATACTGCTGACAAGTTCTGGTGGTTCTTTTTAAAGGTGTTGTTCAATACTTTATACCTTTTCTCGGTAAACGTGTCCCGTTTTCTTAATGTCAACGATTGCCTGGCCTGTTTTGCGTAACTGCAAGTATCTTGGTATCCAGTATGCTATGCTGATATTTTGGTAAGCGCTGACCATTTTGTACTGATACACTTGGTATTTTAGTCGTCGAAAAAGAACTATTTCCACAAAATCTGGTGGTTCTGTTGCGGAGGAAGACTTGGAAGCCATTAAGAAATCGGAAAAGAAAAACAAACTTGTACTGGACGAAGTTGCCCAGGAAGGAAGCGTGAGTACAATATGAATTCAATCAAATCCAATGATACTTTCTGTATGAACCGAAGTTCAATACTGGGGCATATTTCAAATTTTCACGTTCCATATTCTTACCATGTAAATATCGGGAAAGTTCAGAAAGCGAACATACTCATGTTATATATCAAAATCTTCGTATAGGTACCCTCTAAAACCTCATTTGTATATTTTGCATGGAATTTTTCATTTTAGAGCATTTTAGAGCGTCCTTCGTTGGTCAAAACGTTAGAAATATGCCGTCACGCGTAACACTTTAGGAGCGCGCTATTTTTCGAAATGATGTAGAATGATTATTTTTTCATCAATTTTGATGAGACAGGTATGAATCACTTCCTGAGACAATGATCTTTATTATGACGTCATTAGTTTTAAGGTAACAATGGAATGTGACGCTGATTTTTCAACTTCAAACAAAATCCAAAGGCCGTCACGCTGGGTATTTTAACGACCCCTAGGAAAGCAAAATGCCATTTATTTTAGAATTAATTACTTTTAAAGGCTGAAATTAATTTTAGAAACAAGGTTTTGGCTAAAATTAATAAATCTGAAGAAAAAATATTAAATTTCCTTCAAATTTCTTAAATATCAAATGATATGTAGGGTACGAAAAATGTCCCATCTAGTATTTTTAGCTTAAAAATGCGTAAACTTGAAATCCAGCCATCACGTGCACGCATTAAAATTAAGAAATATATCAAAATAAAAACATTTTAGAAATAGGTTTTTAATATATTTTGATCGTGGAAAATTTCAAACATTTTCAAACTTGTCAAACGATGCGAAAGAAAAAGGTACAAAAATGTCCCATGTAGCTTTTTGACGTCTTTTCATTGAGAATTCTACAGAAAGCGCAATTGTTCATCACTCGTGACGTTACAAAGTATGCCCCAGTATTGAACTTCGGTTCTATACGATTGTCACTTAATCGTTGTCCATATATCAATGCAGACATATATGACTATCTTATATCTCGCGTGCTCTTGGGGATCAAGTTTGGGTTCATCGGTTTGGTCATCTCTTCGTTGATTACTTAATTCCATTTTGATGTTCATAGCATCTTTCTCATTGTGCAAACCAGTTGTCCAGAAAGATAGAGATAGAGAGGGCATATATACAACACTGAAAATAATCACATGTAAACATATATCATCATAATTATAGGTGAAAGCGTCTGTGTTCCTTGGATACCTCAAAGCATGTCGTATTGCTTATTGCATCGTTGCTCTCATTGCCTATCTCGCATACATGGCCTGCCAAGTTGGTACAAATATCTGGCTCAGTGAGTGGAGCAACGATCCACCACTACTTGTGAATGGTACTCTGGTCCAAGATAAACCGCAAACCAACTTGAGACTCGGCGTTTATGGAGCGTTTGGAGCTGGTTCTGCAATCACTGTTCTGATTCAGTCGTTGGTCATTGCACTCGGATCCATATTTGCATCAAGTAAGACTTCTGTTTAACCTTTACGTTATCTTTAACCGTTTTTCCGGTGTAAGTTAAATTTAAAAGCGAGTATTGAATAATGCGACCGAGAAAATAAATGCGAGAAGGGTTATGAATCCAAGACATCGATAGACAAAAACAATATTCAGTCATATAGAAACAAATTCTCAACCAAAACTATAATCTAACATTCAATCGGAGGGTTATTACTAACTAACCCTAAGCTATAAAATACAGACTTTTCTCAATTCATAAACAAACTTCACTGTAAGTTCATGAGTTCCATTTTAGTTACGTTACACGCTGATCTCTTACACGCCATCGTGAGGGCTCCCATGGCATTCTTTGACACGACCCCTCTTGGCAGGCTCATTAATCGCTTCTCAAAGGACGTGGACACGATTGACATCAACATTCCTATGACTCTGAGAATAGCATTGGCAACCTTGGCATCTGTGATTATGACAATCATCGTCATCATATATACCACACCTATCTTTGTGGTTGTTATATTACCGTTATCTGTTTTCTATTTCTTTGTGCAGGTAGGTTTATTCAAAAGGACAATATTATATATACATACTTGCAGTAACGAGATACAGAGTGCAGACTATGCATCCTTCGTAAATGTAAACAGTCATAGGTCTTTAGTATAACTCATATTTTCCTGAATCAAAGTTAGTTGATTAAAAATGTAGTTTCACTGGCGGATCCAGAAGCAAGCAAGGGAGGGGGCCCACACATCAGATGTGAAAAAAAAAATCCGCCAAGTTATGCCCAAAAATACCCTTTTTTCTGGTCCCACGTGGACCCGCCAGTGCGGATATATTTTGATGAAACATTTAAGCATCGAATGGTATTTATGATATTTTAGAGATTCTACGTTGCGACATCACGGCAATTGAAACGTTTGGAGTCAGTCAACAGGTCACCTATATATTCCCACTTTAGCGAGACCGTTGTTGGAACTAGCTCAATAAGGGCATATGGAAAGGTCGGCGACTTTGTTCTCAAATCTGACGATTTGGTTGACGAGAACCAAAAGGCTTACTATCCCAACATAGTCTCAAACAGGTATGTTACAAGTCTTCTGGATTGTAAACCTACGAAGTTCATTCGGACGTCTCAGCCAAGATTACTTAACACAGTATATCGAACAACAATGGATTCACAAGGCACAAATCGTTCTCATTCATTAAAGACGTGAATTATTTTCTTTTAAAAAATGCTGATCTTTCACAATCATATAATACGATTCATATGTTATATCCCAAGGTGGCTTGGTATTTCTTTGGAGTTTATAGGGAACATCATCGTTCTGTTCGCTGGCTTGTTTGCTGTATTGGGAAGAGAAACGCTAAACGCAGGTCTCGTCGGCTTATCCGTATCATACTCATTACAGGTACATAAAGGTTATATACTGGGAGGGATCGATATGGGTAATTCCGAGGGACAATAAGTACAATATATATATCATATTACCACGAGGTGAATACAATTTTCGTGAGTTGGATTGGGCAGGACAATACAATTTTATTTCAATATCAAAAATATTCCCGGGTGTTGTTCACCTGATCTTAATGTCAATACATTTTAATTATCCAGATAACATCAGCATTGAATTATATGGTGCGAATGGCCACAGATCTTGAAACATTCGTGGTGTCAGTCGAAAGAGTAAAGGAGTATTCCGAAGTTGCAAACGAGGTAGGCGTTAGCATATTTCACAGTAAATTAAAAGTCTATGATGTATGTCGTTAGTATATGTATCTTTAATAAATCTATGGAATACAACACAAATTTCCATCAATGAATTCGAAAGGTCTTGTATTGTTTTAAGATCCTTGTAACAAATTAGTGAATAACATTAATTAGTAGCATATTAGTTTCATAGTGTCCCAATTTTCTGCCATCTTAAGGATCGATCTAACGACCAATTATCAAAAATGCTGACCGATAGAAGGTTAGTCAGGTTTGTCAATTTTTGAGAATATATAAGGATCTATTGGAACTAATATCATAAAGGAATTGATTTAAATTGCAGGCCCCTTGGGAAGTTCCAGGTAATACACCTTCCGATGCATGGCCCGAGGCAGGGGCAATAGATTTTGATGATTATAGTGTACGGTACAGAGATGGTCTTGATTTAGTCCTCAGAGGCATAACATTCAACGTGAAGCCTGGTGAAAAGGTAAGAAGGCATACTATCCATAAAATGATAATTTCAATTTTGTACTTAATTTGTACTATGAAAATCAGATCAACTTATTATTAATACACACTTATGTTTAAAAGTATCAATAAGTTATATCTACAAAAGTGGGAATCGATTCATTACAATTTTGCAATTGGTGAATAATAGTCGCCAGACACGAAAACTGTTGCCTTGTTAGAGCATATATTTTTACGTTTGGGCATCACTACATTCAGCGATCATAGCAAGTCGAGCTTTATAAAATGATGGGTCAAATAAATGTTACCTTCTACAGTTAACCTGTGCTGCTATATTTTGCAGGTTGGAATCGTCGGTCGAACTGGTGCCGGGAAATCTTCATTGACGCTTGCCTTATTCCGAATTATAGAAGCAGCTGGCGGGAGTATCATCATAGATGGCAAGAATGTGTCTCACATAGGACTTCATAGCCTTAGATCAAAACTCACTATTATCCCTCAGGTGTGCTTTCTATATTCCTTTATGTAGCCTCAAGACCCGTTGCCTCTTGCCCAACATTTTTTCAGGAGCATGCAGTTTTTTCACCATTCTGAATTTTCCCCATAATTTTTGGTCAAAGTTTTCAAGTGTGAACCCACCGTGATTTTTGGAAGTTGACCCCCTTCCCTTGGCAAAAACTGCGGTCCTGACTCCCCTATATATATATATATACACCGTATTAACAGTTCCAAGCCTGTTCATTTTCGTTAAAAGGTTTTATAAATGACATAAAATGATGATTTTTAAAACGTCAAACGTAAACATAGTTTAGCATGTGGGTAATTTGGTTGTTTTTCACTTGTTATTAGGAACCTGTATTATTTTCTGGGTCACTGCGGATGAATCTTGATCCTACAGACATCAGAGGTGATGATGAAATATGGGATGCCTTGGAGCATGCTCATCTGAAGGAGTTTGTTGTAAGCTTACCTGACAAGCTTATGCATCCTTGTAGCGAGGGAGGTGAAAACCTAAGGTACGTTGACTGATGCCTAGGCCACATATGCTCCGATTAATCGGCTGGCGTCCGGAAGATTGCAGTATTTTATTTAAAACTGATTTCAACTTGCTTCAAATTGATTAATTTTTTAAAGCATGTATAAGATCTCTCGGAGTTCACAACTGACATATAATTTGTGATTTGAAATTTTGAATTTGAAAACGAAATACCCAATCGGCCGGGCGCCGACTGACGAATCGGGGAAATGTGACCAAGGCATAATAATACGTATACTTGATTGATTTATTTCATTTAAAAAGGTAAACAGTGATAGTTAACACAAATCTGACATCATATTGTTCTAAAAACAGCTTTTTAGGTATTTACTAATTGTAAATAGCCATTAGCTCTACACTTCCAAACAAAATGTAGATGTTTACATGACATTATGCTTTCTCTACCTTGTTTGTTTTTGTCACATAGGCCAGTGTAAAGATGGCAGGAGTGCAATTCATCTCAATTCATATATGTTTTAAATTCTTACTTCACATGTACTTTATGAACTTCACTCTTTGCTATCTATATCAGTTGGTCAAAATTAGAAAAAATCGACAGACTACTGCCATCTTTATATTGAACCTTTGTATATATCATTCGTTTCTGGAGCATATTACAACTAACACTGGAACGCACACTGGTATGAACGTGTAACGGTATGACACGACTGCATAAGCACTTATACTTTCCCTGATATATTTAGTTATTTGATATTCCAGTGTTGGTCAGCGGCAGCTAGTGTGCCTGGCCAGGGCGTTGTTGAGAAAGACAAAGATATTGATTCTCGATGAAGCCACGGCTGCAGTTGACCTCGAAACTGACGATCTCATTCAGGTAATATTTCGTTTTTTCTACAGCATTGTGTTTATTATTCGCATACATAGATATAATTCGGATAATTAGATATTTCATTCCTCAACTGGAAGTTCTGTAAATGTTTATACGAATGGACACCTAAAATAAATATTTCCAACGTGTACAATTATGCCAATTTGATTATTTGTTTCAGAATACAATCAGAACTGAATTTAAGGACAGTACAATAGTGACAATAGCCCACAGGCTGAATACAATCATGGATTATGATAGGTAGGGTTCCATATGTCGCTATGCCATATTGTCATGAAGTGCAGCCTCTTATACTATACAGGGTGTCAAATAAGTCCCATCCCCCCTGCTACAGCTAAAACCTTAATAGACGGTACCTAGTGTGATATACCATTGGAAAGATCATCAAAGTTATGTTAACTCACCAACTCTCAAGTATTTTGGATGAAAGTTACCTATATTTTTATGATGTCCTTTATAGTTAACGTACCCTCCTTTAAGTAGCTTTTTTTGCGTCAAAATTACAAGGATATGGGCTCAGAAATATGTCAAAAAGTTAATCTTTTTCGTTTTCCACTTGAAGCAAAAAGGTTTTCACCACTCCCCTTTCACCTCTTTTTCTATACATTTAACCCTATCCAGAAATTGGTTAAATTCATTGCCATGTGCATTAAGTCATCCTTTGTCCTTTGACCTTCCTTATACCCGATTCTCAAAATCCTGCCTAAAATGCCAAATTGCCATGTTTCTAGGCCTATGGTCACCTCAATTGATACGATGTAAAAATTTGTGAGATTGATTGACATGTGTCGGATATATGCTAATCAACGTAACTTTGGAAGACCTTTCCAATGATATATCACACTTGGTACCAAATATCTTGGTTTAGGCTGTAGGGGGGGGGGACAGGACTTATTTGACACCCTGTATATGTTTAATAAAGCAGCTAAATTTCTTAAGTGTAAATAAAACACACTTGTGATCACACCCACGGCGACATGAGTAAATCTTGACTTTTTTAGGTTCACTTCTTTGATTAACATGGTTGACGACGAGTCTATAATATTTATTTTATCATTCATTTATTTTCTTTTTTAGAATCTTGGTACTCGATGCAGGGAAGACTAAGGAATACGACAGTCCAACAGCATTACTTGCTGATAAGTCAACTGTATTTTATGGAATGGCAAAAGACGCTGGACTAGTGTAATTATGACATCACAATGCTAAAAATGACGGATTATCGAAGGGCAAGTCGATGTAGAATGGCGGTCGTGACAATTTAACAGACAGAATTGTAACAGAAAAGGATGTACACATTACGACGTAGAACGTTGAGTACGCTTGCTGTCTGAACAAGACAGATGCAAATTAACATTATTTACTAAATAAAAACTCTAAAATGCATTCACATGCAAAAAATACTATTTGATGACAGCATTTCCGAGAGATTAGCCAAGGGGACATTCATGAGGTAACATCGGACAATGTGCAAAGAACTTTCCCTTGGGAAAGGGATCAACTGAAATCAACAGCTGTATATTATTGACAGCTGCAAATAGTATATCAAATAAAAATATATAACATTTTATAAATTATTCAAAAAAGTATGCAACATTGGAACATTCTATTTTAAAAGAATGCGTTTATTTTAGGGGGAAACAAAATAACTAAAGTGGATCTTCGACTCACTTTTCTTTATGATTCATGTTGCCACGGTGACAAACAACACATCTAGGGATGTTTTTTTATATCTAGCTTGACGTCATATTCAGTCATTACATAGAACTAATGAGTCATTTTGTGAATCAAAGTTTGAGCCAAATTGATCGGTTTGGCTAATTTTTGAATGCATGTGTTAACTCTCTCATGACTGAAAATTTGGGGGAAAATGGGAAGAAATGAAAAACTTAAATGTAAATGAATCTAGAAGCAAGAAAAGGAAGCAACACCCAAGAAGTTATATATCATTTTGAAGGGCTATACCCATACTTTATGTTTTTTGAAAAAAAATGTGAATATGCAAATGAGATAGTGTCATTGTGACGTCATAATTCAAGATGGCGCAGTTGGATTTTTTTCAAAATGGAATTATTTTAGCATTTAATTTTTTATTGAGACTTTAATTTAAAAATCTGAAAACACAGAATTATAGATCTGTTTATGCTGATTCTAGTGGTATTTGTACCATGACGTAACTCCTACAAATACATTTTTTAGAGCTTCGAGACTGCAAATTCTCGGAAAATCCCTATGGCGATTTAACATGGGATTCTTCGTTTTCGATACTTTTTCGCGAGGTGTCAAATTCAAGTGCCTCTAACTTTGCACAGAATCATCAGATTCAAACAATCTTTTTTTTAAAATGTTCCTACTGGTCCATACTTTTAGAAAATGCATTATTCTTGCAGTTTTATTGAAATGAGGCCACTGGAGACCCCTTAGAATAGCAATAAACAAAATCGATCATATATGATCGATTTTGCTCTAAGGGGTCTCCAAGGGACCCCTGATGATAAAAATTCATGATTTATCAATTTATTTAATCTTGAAGTCTGTACAAACATTTTAAAAAAAAGTTCATGACTTTTCGTTAAGTATTTCCAAAGTTACAGTGATCCGAAGCTGGTGAGCGCGCGAAAAATTGCGAAAACGATAAAATCCCATGTTAAATCGCCATAGGGATTTTCCGAGAATTTGCAGTCTCGAAGCCCTAAAAAAATTATTTGTAGGAGTTATGTCATGGTACAAATATCACTGGAATCAGCATAAAAAGATCTATAATTCTGCGTTTTCAGTTTTTTAAATTAAAGTCTCAATAAATAATTAAATGCTAAAATAATTCCATTTTGAAAAAAATCCAACTGCGCCATCTTGAATTATGACGTCACAATGACCCTATCTCATTTGCATATTCACATATTTTTTCAAAAAACATAAAGTATGGGTCCAGCCCTTCAAAATGATATATAACTTATTGGGTGTTGCTTCTTTTAATGCTTTTAGATTCATTTTCATTTCAGCTTTTCATTTTTCTCCATTTTTACCTCAATTTATCAGTCATGAAGGAGTTAACCCATCCCTGGCCCATGGGATTATAGTTTCTTATATGAGTTTTAAGATAAGTTTGATAAATTTTACATGTTAATGCATTCCCATTCATATTGTCTAAAATTGCCGCTAATGTTTTTTTTTATAAAACTTTGGCAATCAATTGCATGTCTATTATTGTTTACTAAAGGAATAAATTTATGTATAAAAAAAGAAGAAGTCATTACATGATGTACGTTGAAACAATCCAAATGAAATGTGAGCTTCACATCCTTGTTTAAAAAGATATGGACCTCATGTAACTTTCCAAATCATCATGCCAAACTATTGTTAAACCGAAAAAAATTAGCCTATCCAGAAATAAGTTGAAATCAGTTGTTATAAGCAGGGTAAAGTGCGTTTTGTATGTGTTTGACTTAGTATCTTAAAATATAGTTTTTCCAGTTTAAATGGTCTCAGACGATTGTCGACAGGAATTCTTTATTACTTTTTGAAGTTTGGATAAACTGTCCCATGGTTCTTTTCGACATTCGTGATCTGTTCAGTAATTTGACACAATGGGGAGCAATGACCTCCAAAAGTGGTTACTTATTGATGGCCTCTCCTTTAAAAGGTTGACGACCCCGACTTCTCCTTGAAAGTGTTATTATCCCACCGATTGAAGTTCGAGAGGGATATATAAAACCCCTCTTTTCGTCTGTTTGTCCGTCCGTCCATTTGTTCGTTCGTCTGTCCAGCGATACTCAGCTACCGGTTGACGGATCAGGTTAAGATTTCATAAAGGTTTAAAACCTCTTTTCGATAAGGAATTTTCACTATGGCCGAGTAATTTTAAAGTGATTGGCATTTTTCATAAAAAATGTAATACTTGATAGCTAACTGAGCGATTTGGTTAAACTCCTTCATATGTTTATGCCTATGGATAGTGGTGTCAATTAACCGCTTGAGCATTAACCGGCTAACCGGGGGTTTTTACCGATTAAAGTCGGTTAACCGGCGGAAAATTTGAACTGATAATTTCAAATGTTGAAAAAGTTGGAAAAATGATACGTTCGTCAAGCTTTACTCTATTCTATGTAAGTAAGCGCGGGAAAGCAATGTGGCAGGGATTAAAGTTGCTGATTGGATGTTTGTAAGGAATTATCGGACCTATCACATGTATGAGTAGCTCACATGAAACTGACGCTTGAAAAACAAACAGATTAAAATGCAAAGTAAGCGCGGGAAAGCAATGTGGCAGGGATTAAAGTTGCTGATTGGACGTTTGTAAGGAATTATCGAACCTATCACATGTATGAGTAGCTCACATGAAACTGACGCTTGAAAAACAAACAGATTAAAATTCAAAGTAAACGCGGGAAAGCAATGTGGCAGGGATTAAAGTTGCTGATTGGATGTTTGTAAGGAGTTATGGGACTTATGACATGTATGAGTAGCTTACGTGAAACTGACACCATAAAACCAAACGGATTAGCATGCAAAATTAGCGCGGGAAATAACAGAATTATACATGGTCAACTAACCGCCCATAAAAAAACAGACCGGTCAAGGCATTATCGGCGGTTAACCGGTTAACCGGTTAATACTCGACACCTCTACCTATGGACAAAAAGGAACTTTGCGTAAGAATCGATTTTCAAGATGGCTTCTGAATTTTAAAGTGACCATAACTTAACGGATTTGATATATTATGTGCTCATACCTAGGGACACGAGAGCTATGCTAAGGAAGATGGCAGCTGAAAATTAAAAAATCACATTTTACAACCCATGCAAATACCAGTGGACGGAAGAATTTGGTTCAAATGTTATATGCTGATGCCTAACGACAAAGGAGCTTTCCCCGAGAAGAAATTTTCAAGATGAAAGCTGAATTTCAAAATGGCCGCCATTTTTGTAAAAATGCGTTTTATAACTAAAATACCAGTGGACGAATTTGGTTCACATTTTATAGGATAATTCCAAAAAATAAAGGAGATCTGCTCAAGAAGAAATCTAAGATGGTTGCCATTTCTTAAAATGGCCGCCATTATTCATTAAAATGTAATATTTGATAAACAGAATACAAGTTGATGGATTTGGCATATGCTGGTGCTGTTAGCAACAAAGGAGCTCTGCTCAAGAAGACATTTTCAATATGGAATTTCGATTTCATCTTTCATAAATCAATTACCAATGGACTGTTTAAGTTCCGATTTTATATGCTGATACCTAGGGACAAAGAAACTCTGTTCAAAAATAATTTTTCAAGATAACCTTTATTCAATACACTTGTTTTTCGGTGTGATTTGCTACTCCGTGGAGTTTTTAGTTACTCTTCATCCTCTTTAAATAGTTTTCAATTGGTCGTAAATTAAGGACATGTGGATCTTGAAAATCGTCAACTATCAACATACACCAATACACCAATAGTTCAACCAGGAAGATGCGACTGTCAAACATTTTGAGAGGACTGGTAAGTAACTGGTTAATAAGTGTACAACTGTTTTTATGTATTATCACATATGATTTGAATATTTCACTGCGCAATTTTGTACTGAAATGTGAAGGTAGTATTTAATTTAATACATTTCGAATTAAATATATGTTTTGTAGAGCTGTTTAATTAGGCCTAAACCCCAAAGTGCCACTCTCCAAACTCTTACCTTAAACCCCACTGGCGGATCTGGGGGGGGGGGGGGGGGGGGGCAGGGGCCCCCTGGGCGGGCCCAGAAATACAAATTAGGCCCAAACAATTGTTGAGCTAAAAAAGGCCTCAAGGCTCCTAAAATTTGCCTTTTTGGTCATAGATAGACCTTCTAAGGCCTTATTTTTTATTTTAGGCCAAATTTTGAAGACATTTTGAAGTTTTTTCTCAAACCAGAAGTTTGCCCCCCCCCCCCTTGTTGGTTCCCAGATCCGCCCCTGCTAAACCCGACTGGTGTCAAATCGTGGGTCATTTGATACTTCAGGCTACCAAACTTATGGAATGGATGTAGGTGTGAACCTGGTTGTTTAGATCAGTTTACGATTTTACAATCTTTAAGATAATGAACACAAGTACAAGCACTTGTGGATATTTCGGCTCTGTTTACATAAACTGAATGAGTTTGTAAGTTCTATTTTTAATCATGACGTTTTGTATTGCATTTCAATCGTCGTGGATTGAGAAATTGTTGTACGTTTACGGTACTAACAATTACACGGACACCGACGGTAGGCGACGTTCAGCACATCAATTAATATTATTCATAAACATTTCTAGTTGTCTTCATTTTTGCCAATTGAAGGATTCATCGGGGTGACGAAATGTAAGTTTCTGCAGTTTTATTTAAACAAACAACATAAGCAATTTAATTCATCAACCAAACTCACACAGTGAGCCTATGGGATCGACCAGGCGTCCGATCGTCCGTCCGTCCGTCCGTCAACATTGGCCGCACAAATTAAAACTGCTATTCGGATTGAGTCATATCCACATTCATTTTATGCATATCCATAATGCCTATTTGACCTATCATCGCCATTTCCCAAGTTCGCCCGGTTTCCGAGAAATTGCTGATTTTTACGTCAAAAAGTCAACTTTTCTGTAAATACTAGACACGTTGTTGAAGTAGAACTTTCAAATAACTAGTAGTAGTTGCTGTATAGCAACTTATGTTCTCTGAAGATTTCAACTCTTGAAATTACAGTTTTGGTGTTTACTCTATAACATTTGACAAAAAGTAGGACTTTGTCATTTTCAGGGAACTTTCTCATGTATAAAGTCAATCGTCATTGGCTGCACAAAACACTGTGTGAGCACAGGACCGTGGGTCCTTTATATTGTTTTTTTGTTCGTTAAGCAAATATTTGATAGATTTGACAATCTTCGACGTTTATATTGTGTAATAGTTGGTCTATGGTTACCGACTGGACTTTGGTACAGTTTAAAGCAAATGTGTAAACATAAATTGAGATAACTACAATGCCTTGGTCATCTTAGGCTGGACACTTGTTCACGATCGATCATAACCTTCGCAATGTAATATGAATGAACAATTTTCATTTGACAGGTTAGTTTTTAAAGTAGTTATTCAAAAGTACTAGAGTAGTGTGTAGTGTGATCTCGAAGTGCGATTTTCCGACTCAATTATTGTCATTACAAAGTCGTTGCAAATATAGTTATTGCTTTACATACGTGGGTTGGAATGGTTTTATCATTTTGTTATTAATATGTTTTGAGAGGACGTATATAATTTTTCATAACAATCAATATTTATTCCTTGACTATTTGTTAAAGGATGTGTATAACTTACAAAATAACTTCAACTTTCAGTATCACTCATTGATTCAATAAAAGTGCTAGCTTACGTGTTGGAAATACTAACGTTTGCCCGCTTGCAACATGGCGGATGAGAACGGAACTACATGGTGGGACCCAGTTTGCGGATCAAGAGATTTCAACAATGATTCCGATACATGGGCGTTTTGGGTGAGTTTTTGATCATATCACATCACACAATTTTTTACAATTTTAGCCTGATCAGTTGTTGAAAGTCAACCGAATTGAGAGAAATGCTGATTTGATAACATAGAGATAATACCATGATAACACCTATGTGGAGGAAATAAAGACACTGAACTGAACTGAACATTGGATATACGGCAACCGTACGGCGGCGTAGTTCACAAAAATCGAGAGAAGCCACTGCCGCTGTAGAGAAAATGTGACCGAGGCGTTAGTAAAGCTACCTCTTACTCCAACTACATATTACATTTCAAACTTGAAAACGCATATAATGACGTTCAATATTCAATATCATGATGTCATCATATGAAGTCATCACTGAAAAATTAACTCGGTAAACAATTTGCTGCTATTTGAAAAGTCTTAAGAGTAAAATGTTTCAATTAAAATTCTGACGGTACAGTGTATAATATAAGCTTAAGCATTCCAAAAATAAGTACAGTAGATTGAAACGGCAACAGTACGGTACTCATAGTTAAAGTCATGATATATTGCGACACAATACATCGTTTTGTAAATAATGATATCTTTACTTTGGGTTAATATTTAGGATGGAATTGCTATCATGAGTATACCGTTGCTCGTATGAACACTAAACACTTCACAAAAGGTCCATGATTGTGCAGTATGCAGTGGTATCGGTAACTTTGTATACAAGTGGCAGATGCAAATTCTTGTTATTTTAGAGTCTATGGCCTGAAAGAAAGATGTCCAAGGTTTGTCAAAGTCATTTCCACGTGTGATGTGGCAAGACATGGGTTCCACAAAATAACACCTGGAACTGTGGAATGACTAGGGCAACTTACACTGTTGCTCATAAAAATGGAATATTTTATAGATACGAACTGTTTGATGGAATTTCTACAAAATTATAGCATTTTGAAGAAAATGTGTAATGTGTTCTCGTTCCCTCATCAGTTTTGCATATAAAACTGATTGGTATGAAAAGTTAAAACATTTATGGTTGATTAAACTTGTATTCACTCAGGTGACCCCATGACCTCATGATTTTGGAAACTTGAAAAAGGTGTCCAAATCGTAGTTGAAATCATTGTGCCCATTTTATATACATTTAATTTAGAGTCAGAAGAGTTTTTAAAAGGCATGCCCCATAAAATGAGCGAAAAAGAGCATGGCATGTCATAGGGATGGTGCTCTCTGGCATGAAACAAACTGCCATTGCCAGGACCCTAGGGGTGTGTCAGGAACAGTCTCTAAAATTTTGCAGTGGTACCAAAGGTACTGGAATATGACTCCAGGTCACAGCAATAGTTGCCCTAGAGAGAAAAATGTAAGAAAAGACCACCACCTGCTGCATTTATGTCGTCAAAATTGCTTTAAGTCAACCAGTAGTCTACAAGATGAATGACTGTCTCACCTCAAAACCCGTGTTCCAGAGCTAAAGACAACCAGTGATTTCTTTATTTATTCTTTATTAAGGCCATGAGACCTTTAAAGAGACCACAGCTAACTGATCATAACAAAGAAAGGTGCCTTCAGTGGGCAGGAAAGCACCAATCCGTTGGACCTAATCTTTGGTGTAATATGACAGCATGTGAAGAAATAAGATGTGTCCTCCACAAAGTTGATAATTGTCTTCGTTTCTGTCGTAGACCAGGGGAAAGAGACAATAAGGACACTTACTAATGTGGCAATTGTTACGTTCAATAATAACAGAAAGTAAAAACAGCAATTAAAATATGATAACAATATATTTATATTTTGAAAACTAAATAATATAACAATGATATAAAGGAGGTTTAATACTTAAGTGATGTCCAATCAATGATACGGCTTATTCTTGATGTCGATAAATATCCTTGACGATCCTTGAGAATGTTCCAAATCACGAACGTTTCAGTAATCGTTAATAGTTCTCCAATGTTTGTAATAATCCAATAATGTTTGTCGTAATCCTATAATAAACGTATCCAATAATGTTTGATGATAATCCACAAATGTTTGATGATAATCCACAAATGTTTATGATAATCCACGTATGTATATGATAATCCGTATATAGTGTGTGTTGTAATATTTGTCCATATAAAGTCCTCAGGTTGTGTGTTTGTAGTGTTATAAATGTTCCCTCAGTAATTATCTGCTAAGAAGATGTCCTTTTGATAAACTTTGAAATTCTGCTGACAGCCCAAATCAGCTCTCTCATTATATAGTGCAAAGGCATAGTCCAGATGTTTCAAGAAGTTACGATTTCTGGAAATCAACACTGATTGGACATCTTTAGTCACATGATTCAATCTTGATTTAATGATTATAGTTCCAGTACTTTCTAGAAGGCCAATGGTTAATGAGTCATTCAGTTCAGTTATGTTTACAAGATATAATGTCATTGTGACCTTGACCTAAGATCTCTAATGAAGATCAGTTACAGTATATGCATATTGATAAACTAAACTTAATGTGAATTTAATAGAAC